TTTAATCTCCACCTCTGCGCACGCGCAGTGGCGCCGGTCGGCTACCGGGTACCAAACCGGGACCGGTTCTCCGGTTTGCTGTAACTCTCTACTATATGCCACCGATGCACATAATTCATAGGCGAAAATAAGACAATAGACACTTTCAAAATGGCCGCCGTTGTCCCCGAACCCCCCCCCCCCCCCGAAATTTTTTTCTGGGTACGGCCCTGGTCGGTGCACTGGCAGCCAGCCGATTTTAATCTCCCACCTCTGCGCACGCGCAGTGGCGCCGGTCGGCTACCGGGTACCAAACCGGGACCGGTTCTCCGGTTTGCTGTAACTCTCTACTATATGCCACCGATGCACATAATTCATAGGCGAAAATAAGACAATAGACTCTTTCAAAATGGCCGCCGTTGTCCCCGAACCCCCCCCCCCCCCCCCGAAATTTTTTTCTGGGTACGGCCCTGGTCGGTGCACTGGCAGCCAGCCGATTTTAATCTCCACCTCTGCGCACGCGCAGTGGCGCCGGTCGGCTACCGGGTACCAAACCGGGACCGGTTCTCCGGTTTGCTGTAACTCTCTACTATATGCCACCGATGCACATAATTCATAGGCGAAAATAAGACAATAGACTCTTTCAAAATGGCCGCCGTTGTCCCCGAACCCCCCCCCCCCCCCCCCGAAATTTTTTCTGGGTACGGCCCCTGGTCGGTGCACTGGCAGCCAGCCGATTTTAATCTCCACCTCTGCGCACGCGCAGTGGCGCCGGTCGGCTACCGGGTACCAAACCGGGACCGGTTTCTCCGGTTTGCTGTAACTCTCTACTATATGCCACCGATGCACATAATTCATAGGCGAAAATAAGACAATAGACACTTTCAAAATGGCCGCCGTTGTCCCCGAACCCCACCCCCCCCCCCCCGAAATTTTTTTCTGGGTACGGCCCTGGTCGGTGCACTGGCAGCCAGCCGATTTTAATCTCCACCTCTGCGCACGCGCAGTGGCGCCGGTCGGCTACCGAGTACCAAACCGGGACCGGTTCTCCGGTTTGCTGTAACTCTCTACTATATGCCACCGATGCACATGATTCATAGGCGAAAATAAGACAATAGACACTTTCAAAATGGCCGCCGTTGTCCCCGAACCCCCCCCCCCCCCCCCCCCCCCCGAAATTTTTTTCTGGGTACGGCCCTGGTCGGTGCACTGGCAGCCAGCCGATTTTAATCTCCACCTCTGCGCACGCGCAGTGGCGCCGGTCGGCTACCGGGTACCAAACCGGGACCGGTTCTCCGGTTTGCTGTAACTCTCTACTATATGCCACCGATGCACATAATTCATAGGCGAAAATAAGACAATAGACACTTTCAAAATGGCCGCCGTTGTCCCCGAACCCCCCCCCCCCCCCCCCCCGAAATTTTTTTCTGGGTACGGCCCTGGTCGGTGCACTGGCAGCCAGCCGATTTTAATCTCCACCTCTGCGCACGCGCAGTGGCGCCGGTCGGCTACCGGGTACCAAACCGGGACCGGTTCTCCGGTTTGCTGTAACTCTCTACTATATGCCACCGATGCACATAATTCATAGGCGAAAATAAGACAATAGACACTTTCAAAATGGCCGCCGTTGTCCCCGAACCCCCCCCCCCCCCCCCCGAAATTTTTTTCTGGGTACGGCCCTGGTCGGTGCACTGGCAGCCAGCCGATTTTAATCTCCACCTCTGCGCACGCGCAGTGGCGCCGGTCGGCTACCGAGTACCAAACCGGGACCGGTTCTCCGGTTTGCTGTAACTCTCTACTATATGCCACCGATGCACATGATTCATAGGCGAAAATAAGACAATAGACACTTTCAAAATGGCCGCCGTTGTCCCCGAACCCCCCCCCCCCCCGAAATTTTTTTCTGGGTACGGCCCTGGTCGGTGCACTGGCAGCCAGCCGATTTTAATCTCCACCTCTGCGCACGCGCAGTGGCGCCGGTCGGCTACCGGGTACCAAACCGGGACCGGTTCTCCGGTTTGCTGTAACTCTCTACTATATGCCACCGATGCACATAATTCATAGGCGAAAATAAGACAATAGACTCTTTCAAAATGGCCGCCGTTGTCCCCGAACCCCCCCCCCCCCGAAATTTTTTTCTGGGTACGGCCCTGGTCGGTGCACTGGCAGCCAGCCGATTTTAATCTCCACCTCTGCGCACGCGCAGTGGCGCCGGTCGGCTACCGGGTACCAAACCGGGACCGGTTCTCCGGTTTGCTGTAACTCTCTAGGCTGCACCGGTGCAGAAAAGTGTAGGGCAGTCTACTTCCGGTACGTGTATTGAGATACTACCGCTTTGTTTGGGCAAAACCACTCAGGCAGCTGTGCATGGGCGCCGCCATAACTGACTTTCACTTTTTGTTCTCTCTTATGCCGTTCGCTCCACTTCATTATTGCCACTGCAGGACAGGTTATTGCCACTTTAGGTACTATTGTGTCTTTCTCCCCAGCATTGGCCTTTGTGGAGGCTCGTCAACGCCCATTTCAGTGGCTCGGCATCTCGGTAAGGCAAGAGAAGGTCGGCAATGGCGGCTTAATCTGGCGTGTTTTGCTGAACCCAAATTTAGATTACGCAAAACAAGGCCGCAGAAGCGTTGAATGGGACGATGTGAACTGCAAAACATCACTGATACATCGAGATCCTAAACGCATGGTCGTATTTTTGGAGAGGAAGGGCGCGACCAAGCGAGGAATGCGACGCCACGATTCTCTTCGAACAGTTGAGATTGAGGGGAAGCGGCCTCACTTCTCTCCTCCTCGCTTCGGTTCACCTGCTCCTGGGGACGAAGCGAAGAGGAGAGAGAATGAGAATCGGGCGAAGTCAGCCTCGTCGGCCATGTTCAATCCCGCACTTCTCCGAAAATTCGGCCATCCGTTAGAGATATCGCTGTATGGGTGATTCTTTTGGGTTTTGCAGCGTACTGCCTATCGTTTCAGCCTTGTTTTGTGATAGGACGGACAGAATTGATAGAATAGAACGGACATAAATGTTTCTTTGGCTAAGGGACCTTTATGGTCGGAGGCGAATCAGTCCGCGATCCTCCGCGCGTGGCGCGTGGACGTGACCTAAGAGCGTGAGCTGATTCACCGATTGCAAAGGAACCTTCCTGCTGACCGCGTGAATGGGGCGCGGAATGGGGTACAACTCAGGAACGAAGTGGAAGGTAGAAAGAAAGCTCAACGCTCCGATTTGGTCAGAAAAACACCAATTTTTATTCGTATTCAGCCTGTTACAAATATTTATTGTTCAATAATTATTTACTTCAATAGACCCTTTCCGAAATTCAGTGACATCTGGTGGTTTGTAAAGTAGTTAAGGTTTTGCCATATCAATGGCGGAAATGAACTTGTATCGGTACCGTCACTTTCGCAAGTCAACGGCACGCGAGGAGTTGTTCAGTGTGAGTTCTTTCTCGATCACTTTCAGTTCTATGGTGACCAAGAACCTGCATTCAGAACAAAGCTCCAACCCACTCAGGCCGATTGTGTGCCGCCCACAGATTGACTGAATCTGAGTTATTAGAAATAATCGCTTACGTTGCTCTTGCGTTCCATTCCTACGCCGCGTCGTACTGACCCCCAGAATGTACAGGCCTCGCAAGATCCGCTTAGGAGCATCTTCAACGTCTTCCTTCATCAGTCACTAGAAGGCCGTCATTGGTATGGCACAGATGCCAGATGCCGTTCCACAGATGATGATAGTGATCAAAGTGGCCAGACTAAATTTCGGAAATGGTTTATTACACAATAACTGCACATGGAAAACAGAAAATGAGACAAATGGTTAATAGCAAGAAAAATGGGGTTTACCTCTGTGGAAGTTTTATGATTTAAATGATCGTATATAGTGAAACCGTTGGGATTTAAGTCAAAATTTAAACTACTTAAATTCTTATCCCCTTCCCCGGCTTCAGATCAGAATCCTGGGGGAGGCTTCTTTGCTGCTGTACAGTTGCTGGGAAGGAGCATGAGGCATTTCGGGCGTAAGCGGGGGGTGCTTTTATTCGTGGAAAATTGCATTGGAGCAACTGATAAACATAATTTTTTGAAGGCGTGCGACCCGTCGAGTATATACAGATGGTTTTTTCTTCTTTTTTTTTTAAATATAATATATTCTTTAGGGCAGCATGCTGAACTCTCTCGGATAATCTACAGGCAAACCCCGGACTGACCTATCAAGCATTGCTACATTGCACGATACACTGCCGAATACGGGCAATACCCGGCAGCAAATTTGAAGTCCAACGTCACGCAAAAAAAAAAAAAAAAGCTTTTGTAGTTTTTATTATTAGTATTATTTTGATAATGGTGAATGGCATGTGTAGTTGGGATGATTGTAGCTCATGAATCATAATTCATGAATTTCCCTTACCCTTTAAAATTTTGCTATTGTCGCCCTAACCATTACCAATTTGCAAATTACAGAAAAATTATATAGTACAAATAATGACCATACAAGTTCATAGTTTCTTGCCTTCCGATTTACTTCAGTGCTTCGCGCGAAAGTACTTTCAAGAACAAAATGTTCAGCTGGGCTAGTTGGTCCATGACTGGATAGGAGCACCGAAGAACAGGGACGAAGTGAAGGAGGTAACGACAACACCGAACGCTTTTAAGAAGGGTGTGCGAAAATAGTAGTTTTATTTTGATGCTTTGATTCAAGTACGCTGTGAAGGATTAGCAATAAACGACAGGACATACACAAGTAAGTCGCCCATACTGGAGCGTAGGTTTGAATTACGCGCCAATGTCAGACGCCGCCGACGCAAAATGGCCTCACGCCGCCGCCGGTCGAAAAGGGAATCTCGTATACAATTTTTGCTCAGCCCCTCTACCCTCTAATCTTTTCAGCACGCGACTGTGCATTTGTGAAAATGGGCAACGAATTTGCGTAGGCTCTCTAAGGTTTGAGTTGCTTCTCTCTTCAATCTAGGCTTCCACGGAATGACAAGCATGATTTAGCGGATTTCAAGTCCTCGCCTGGCCTCATTGGGCAAGATGGCGCCGATCAGGACGTAAGCAGCGTAAACAACGGAGTGGGTTATCGACGTCGTAATACCGGTAAAACATTCGCGTATCATTAGTTTAATGTCGGTTGAATCATCTTGGCGGTTTCTTAAATAGTGCTAAACAGAGTAAGTCCCAATTTTTTATTGTCAAATGTGATAGATCAGAGTTGTGAATCCTTTTCGATGTGATGACATCAGTTTGAATGAGCGTTCAGCCGTTCAGCGACCCGCCGAAATTCCTAATGATCGACGTCAGTGGTCGGAAATGACTTGGAAATAGACTGCGTGTAACTCTGTACAAGACTCGCGATGTGGAACTCTGTAGGTCTCTCGCTTTCATTGTCTTTCAGAGGGACTATTAAGTGGCGGCGAGCGTAGCATGTCACTGATGGATCTAGCCGGCCGCGCCTGAAGATCGCATCACAGTTGGGCCCCCGTCTGATGGCAGTGGCCATGCCTGGCGTTGTTCCCGACCTCTCTCAAGACCCAGGGGGAAGGCTCAAAGTAAGTGGTGCTGGTTTTTATTCGTAGAGTTCTGTCCTAGACAAGTTTGTCGTATGGTGACTGACAGGACGAGTGCTACAGGGAGGAGTTTCCGTTGTCCGGTCAAAGAAGGGCATCTCGCACGCTCCAGCGAAGAACTGAGAATTAATTCGGACCACCTGGGGATCGTTTGTCGTGCTGCCGAAATCTCAGTGCGTTATTAACCTCAGTCAGATCGCGGGTACCTCGCCCGAGATTCGAACCCGCTACCTGGGGATCCGTCGGCCGACACTTTCCTCAGAGCCGCTGAAAGAGACGCCCTGCCGCTCCCATCGTGCCAGTCCGTGACTGTCAGTGGAACTCACCGCTATCTTCTTCTCTGTCGCAGGGTGTCACGATCGTGAAGCCAATCGTCTACGGCAATGTGGCTCGTTATTTTGGCAAAAAGCGCGATGAGGACGGCCACACGCATCAGTGGACGGTTTACCTGAAACCTTATAAGAATGAGGTGAGTGAAACCAGAAGCGAGGTGGCGCGAGCATGACGTTTGTTTGTTCTTTGGCATTGTATGTGCTGAGGCCGACAGTCTTTTTTTTTTTTTTAACCTCACTAGAAGTTGCAGTGTAGGTGTGCTCGTTCGGTCCTGCACGCTCCATTTTCTCGTGATTAAAATGTTCCGCAAACAAAGAAAGAAAAGAAAAGAAAAAAAGCTGGACAGCAGAAAAATGATAAAATTAGAAGTTTTTTTTTGTTTTTTTGTTATACTTGGTTTTACCTTGCGTTGGACTGCAGCGGACGCTACGAGCCACTGGAACCAATCCATAGCTCGGAGGGTGTCACGTGACCTTGATTGGGCAGAGCTAGGCAAAAGGAGTGTGAAGTCACGTGTCATGCTTGGAGCGCTCAGTTGGCACCGGTAGTAATTGCAGCGTCCACTGCGGTCTAACGTAACGTAAGACGGAGTATAAGGAGAACTTACAATTGTCTTTCCTGTCATGTGTCTGTGCAGTGTCTGCACAAATCTTCGCTGTAACAGGTTTTTGGCATGTCTTAGTGTTTTGGTGTCTATTACAGTGACAATCGCCCTTTGTAATCCTATTGGCTAGTTCCAGCAAATATGGGGTGCACTATGTAGATGGTGGTCGGATGTGTGATCATTTTGTCGTGTGTGTTGCAGTTCAGCAAGATCATCCCGTGTTCCAATACACAGTATTGTGTGTTGGACTTGACATTTTTTAAGATGTGTGAGCTGCTAACAAACATTTTAAAACACCAACCTGTTAACTGTTCATGCAGGGAAATTAAAAAGATGACATTAAGATGAATGAACGAACCAGGCTTGCAATGTTGACCTTTGGTGGTTTTATGAAGGCCATCCACATATTCACTTGATTTTATTTACACTAAAATACCGCAGAAGCGCTTACTATTAACATTTCCCAAGCTTGGAAATTCTACAAGTTATACATTAAGCGCCCGATTTGACCGAACAAGTGCCCATGTCTAGATTAACCCAGTTTCCAGTGAAAGGGGGGTGGGCACTTCCTGGTATTTTACGGTATGTGCATATTGTAATTAAATGTGTTGGACAAATCTTGGACTCATTCGCATAGTAAATAGTGGTAAGGCGGCGCTACACTTCTTTGGACAGTACGGCGATGCTTTGCACCTACATCTAGTTTGTTTGCAGTGCTTCATAAATACCAAACAGACAATATCTGAATTCATAACACGTTTGAGTGTTATGAATTCGGATATTGTCTGTCATTTGACGTCAAGCAGTAAAATTTCAAGTTGCTAAGAAGTTGTTTACTTCGTGATTGGAACCGAGTAGACTCTGGACATCTGTATACAGCAGCAATTGCTAAGTAGCCACTTCAGCAAAAACATCCTGCACTTGTCATGCACTATAAAAAAAATAAATTGAGCAACAAAGTTTTTGGCAGGTGCCAACTACGAAAGAAAATTCGTCGGACGCTCGGACGGAACTGATATAACAGTCGTGCACATGCGCGAAAGCCAGGATAAAGTATTCATATTGCACACCACATACTGACATCTGTTAAACCCAAAATAAAGCAACGTTTAACCCACCTTTGCTGTAAGAACTAATCCTTAAAGTCTACACGAGAGTACCTGTTGACCACCCGCCTTCTGTCACAACTTTTGTGACTTCCGTTTAGGGCTAGTTTTATCTTGCTAAGCGAATGCAGTGCTGCCACCTATCATGTCAACTTTTACAGTAACTGTCGCATTTGAGGGCACGGAGAACCGTGAAAATGATCCGGCCACTATGCTTACGTGACACACTCCATGGAGAAGGTATTGTCAGTGTTAAGTACAAGACAAGTTTCTCTGGCGAAACGCCCATGACACTGTTAAAGCGAGCATGTTGTGCAATGGATCTGGTAACGAGCTAACGCAGATTGTGCTTTCTTTGTTGCCTTAATTTCCGTTATAGAGATCGTAGGGGATCACTTTGGCTCTGTGTGTTCTACTAGCTGGTGTTTATCAGCCCCAGTTGCGCATGTTACGAGCCTACTCAATCGAAACCCATCACCCTTTTCATACTTTGGAGATGGGCCGTGAGGGCACCGACATCATACCTGTAACTTGCCAATACCCAAGGGAGATGAGGCAATGACATACCGTAATTATGTTCAGTCGGGGATGGAACTGCTGCATCAATTGTGCCATTGTGCACCTAATGGCTTTTTTTTCTTGCACCACACCGATACAAAACTATAAATAAGAACGAAATTGCGCCAAGGTGCGCCCAAACTGAAATTATAAACGAGCCTCGTCGAAATTACCCGTCTTGCAGTTTCTGTTGGCAACATTGAGACCGGTACTTCTGGCCCAAAGGGGACGCCAGTGGATCTGAATCCAAAGCTCTGTATCCGAAGGTTGCTGCTGCCAACGTCGTACTGGTTATACTTAGTTTCAGCTGAAAGGGGCACTGACACCCCAAAGGTCTTAATTTTTTTTTTGTTTTCTAAAACAATGCAAGTTGTAGTCATAAATGTGCAAAAAAATACCACAAAAAATTTTTTTTTTCTTATGCGTGCATGCACCTTTTTATTTGTGGCATTCTCCTCTTCTGAATTTCCCGCTTCTTTTTATTTGTGACGCAACGTTTCTATAATATTTAATAACGGCATTCGTAAAACATGTTTTTTTTTTACGCAGTTGCGAAAGCACTACAGCCCTTTTTTTTTTAAATACCAAAAATCAGAGTCCGGTGTGATGTCGCCTCCTGACTTTTTATCCTCCCTCGGAGAACATGGCGTTGCTCGGCACATCCACCGAGGATGATCGGGGAATCGGACAAAGGAGTCTTTTATAGGTGCCCGACGACCTCTCCGACTTCGAAAAGGAAATCTTCAAACGGTGAAAACAACTGGGTGTGGTGTTTGTGTACCGTAATTTCGTTTCTAACTCCGCCGGAGCAGCCTTTCACGCAGAACCGGTTGGACGTGGCCCCCCACGTCGCTCACAAAAGTCCACTGTGCTGACTGCACATTCTCTTCGAATTCCCACCGTTTCAAAGAATTTGGGATCGCTGAAAGGGCCCTAAAAGAACTTCAAACTCGAAAGTGAAGCGTCTTCTGCTCGCAGCGATAGGCGGAACAGACGGAGGAGAGTGGTTGTTCGTGGGACGCAGGCGAACACGACACTTCGGGTGGGGACAGTTTGGAGGCGTGAAAGAAGCTTGAGTTGCCGGACAACTTAATCTTTGACGTCACTGCATTGGTGCTGATTGCGTGGGAAATTTAAATTCGGCTTTGAGTAATTGTATTTTTTTACCTCACAAACACTGAGTTCCCAATTTCGAAGGTAATGTCCGGGCATTGTTTTCAATTGTTTCGGATAATAAAAAAAAAAATTATTTTGACCCGTCAGTGGACACTGACAGGATATTTATGCTCGCCGAGGTTTATAGTTGTACGTGACATGTGAGAGCCCAACTACCCAGAACGGAATTGGCGGCTCGAAATTCGGTTTCTTTCCGCCCGAAAACTGCCGATCAAGAACTGGCCGGTTTGAGCTGTGCTCACTCTCTTTTTTGCGGTCACGGGCTGTTTTCTAAGGTGCAGACACAACCACCAAATTTAATCGAAGTCGTGGGTCATTCAAGGCACACGCTCAATACTAAAAATAGACTGGAAATATGACACCCATCTTTTGTGGCCTCTAAACAGCTGCAAATAGGTGGATTGTACCCGTTTGTTTATATTTGCTTCTTTGCAAATCGGTTCCACCACGTTTTGTAAAGTCGTGTAGATTTGCTTCATATGTTTTGTGTAATGTTCATGTAATTTCGCGAAAAATGCCTTAAATTGAATTTAGTTGAACATTCGTAAAATTGAACAGGAGGATGGCGCTTTAGTTTAGAAGAGGGAGGAGGGTAATAAAAAACATTGTCAGATTCGAAGGCCGATACCTGCCTAGCATGCTATTTCCCAGAGGGAAAGCAGCGTGTAACAGCCTCGATTGTTGGCAGGGGTTTCCCATTCCTGCAGTGACGTGATGTGAGGCTGGAGGTAACGATTCCTCAGGTCGCAAAAATCGGGAAATGACCATAGCATGGGTTTGACGGTCGGCCGAGCCCCTGTCGTGCACGTTGAGCCTGTGACTGTTGGGGTGGCTTTGGCTCCTTCTTGCGGTTCATTGTCTTTGCTGTCAACGGGGGTTTGATGTGTACGTCTCCGGTAGGTTCGCCATTTGGCAAGGACGTCCTCGGTGAGCGCGGCTCCCACGTGTGCTTGATGGAGCAGTATCTGGGCGCCAGGCGGTAGTCGCTGCGGCAACGGGTGATTGATGACTGGTACTTGCTTCTTCAAAGTATACCTCTTCAGTCCTGCTTGGCTGCGCTAATGCGGGAGGCCTGATCGAGGTCGTCTGGTGAGGGCACAATCTCGGAGTCCGGGACGGAGCGGTCGTTCTCGCTCTCGCTTGCCAACGCGCGCACGGCTTTGTTGTCAATAATGCCTGCGTGTCCTGGCACCCAGTCGACCCTCACCTCCACTCTGTGGCATTCATAAAACATGAGGCTCGTGCTCCTGATGTGGATGAGCGTCCCAATACGATGGGTATTGCTGAGTTGGTTGATAACTTCCCTGCTATCTGTGTAAATGACAACACATTCATTCACCCGCCTGTCGTAGCCCCTGACACGTCTCTTCGTGCACCTTAAGTACTGCAGAAAGGATCGCAAACACCGCGAGGACCCTCATCCATTCCTCGAACGGTCGAGAAATGGGGTCTCCAGTCATGGTGAGGTTGACCTTGGCTCGTTCCACATTGTGGCCACGCACAATAAGGAAGCTGGTCTTTTCTGGGGACGGCTTCATGCTGGTGGAGGCAAGGTAGCGATCAACGGTGTCCAAGGCTCGTTGCATGGTGTCTCGTACCACTTCTGTGGTTATGCCCGCGCCCTTGGGGTCCACCCAGAGTGTGATGTCGTCCGCATAGAATGACAGGATAGTTCTACCTCAAGTCCCCTCATCACTATCTGGCGGTCAGAAAGGTCTTGGGTTGTTTTAAGCCGGAACTGATTTCAAACTGCGGGCTGCTAGAAACGACCATATGAAGTTGGTGATCCTTGTGCCGGCCTGGCCCCCTTGAGAGCCAGAGCAGCAGAAATGAGGTCTTGATTCAAGACCTCATTTTGCTGCTTTCAGCCTGCTTCAAGCTGCAGTTTTTTTTGCTCTCAAGGTTGTTCCAAAGCTGCTTTGCCCAGTTCCATCCCTGTGCAGTCTTTTAGCACGTGTCTTTTTACGTGCGAGGCGAGCCTTTGCCCAAGGACAAGATGTTTCTCACTGAGCTCGTTCCTTGGCCTGTAGGACATGTCGACCTACGTCAAGAAAGTACACTTCAAGCTTCACGAGAGCTACCCAAACCAGAATAGAGGTAAACGTGTTTGCATTGTTTGTGACTAAGCAACTTTTTCCCTTTCTTTGCATTTTAGTAAAAAAAAAGCTAGCATTTTTTTTGACAGAGGAGATGTTTCAGAAATTATTGTTATTTTTTGTTTATATTGTGGCACAATACTTACGAAGCTGCTCCAAATAGACGGTGCCATTGCTTTGAAATTATGATGTAGTTCAGCAGTTGGACATTGCAAACATATAAAGAAAAGCAAAAAGTTACTGAATTGCAAATTGTTTGATTTTACTTCGAACAATGCATATGTTTGCATGCTCCACAGTGGTGACAAAACCTCCATACGAAGTGACTGAGACAGGGTGGGGTGAATTTGAAATTGTCATCAAGATTTACTTTGTGGACAGCACAGAGAGACCTGTGAGTAGAAACCTTCATCCCTTTCACACACCAAACTTGAATACTTCTTTGAGCTTACACTCTCAAAGTCGATTTTAAACTAGATTTTAAACGCAAGCACATCACTTCCAAATAAGCGTGGCATGCAAGCAGTTTTGTATAGCTTGGTGTGTGCCATATTCTTTCAGGTGACAGTGTATCACATCTTGAAGCTCTTCCAGAGTGAGACCAACATCATGTTGGGAAAGAAGCAGCTGGTTTCCGAGTCTTACGACGAGCTTGTAAGCCCTCCAATGCGTCGATATGCCTTTGGTCACATGTGCATGCAGGCTGTCGTTTGTGTGAAAGCGCCGAGGTTCTCAGAAGTGCAGAGATCAAGTTGATTATTTCATGATTGCTGGTTCGTGGCACACCTCCCAAGTGTGGACAACATAGGTCGTCCACTATGCCGAACTTGATTCTAAAAAATATATTTTAATTTTACAGCGAAACTGTTTATGGCTAGGGCTTTGTGGATTTTTCGTGTGCACTGACTGAAAACTTTATGCTTGCACCGCCGCATGCGCCGCACGTGCACGTTTTCCCCGTAGAAAAGATTCAAAGTAAATAACCAAAATAAAAAGTTGTTGAATGCGCTTGCAAGATGCCATTTGTTTTAGCCTCTTGCTTTAGAACAGTTACTGCTGCAGACAGTGGCATGTGCGGCGCGTGGAACACCATTCCCTGCATTCTCCTCGGTGCTTGGGTAATTTAGCAATAGGTCTAGATTAGTCATCAAAGTGATAACTAATTAGCTCAATAGATTAGTTATCAACAGGCACCATTTTTAAGATCAGTAGACTCTCGGGTAGATAATAAAGGTTTCTCGAAGATTTGCCGCCGTGCAACCAGGGTCGGCCATGTCTACGCTCGCACAGCCCTCTCTTTGTCGTCGTTCCACGCGCTTGCGTGCATAGTTTCCTTTCCTTCCGCTCTTCCGAAGTGCTGGTCTTGTCGCGCTTGTCTACTTTCCGCCAGGTGGCAGTCCCGTCGTGCGTGTCTAGCTTCCTCCGGCACCTCGGAGTGGGTCTGTGTCGTCTGCTAAACAGCTTCGCTCGTCATCCACCTCCACAGAGTGGAATGGCTCATGAATATTTGTACTCTTTAGTACAAAGGAACTGCAATTGTTGAGCTCGTGGTTTAAAGTTGGCTGTACATTTTCCTTTTTACATTGACCTTTGGGATTTAGGGCTTGGAATGTTTCTCCATTCGAAATGCCGTAACAAGGGCACCTGCTTACAAAAGGTCCAGAGCAAACAGCTGCCCATGGGGAAGAAATAAAATGGGAAAAAATGTGGGGTAACATTTATTTTGGGATTTTACAGTGAACATATTTTATACAAAAATATGCAATAAGCATGCGGGCAGCGGCTACGAGCCTGCGTGACATGGAATGCAGTTTTTTTTTATTACTAGCCGACAGCGGTGGAGGCATGCAGCCCGCATGCCTTCACCGCCGTCGGCTGTCCTCTTTTTCACTATAATTTGGCGAACTGGTGGAGGCTACGGCTACGGGAGCATCTGTGTCACTGTGCCAGATGCAAGGCCCGGAGGGACCTTCTGTCGTCTGCGAGCCAAGGGTTGTCTGCTACGAAAACAACCAACTTGGGATGAACGTCCACTGCCACAACATCGCCGTCGCTAGAGTAGCGAGCTCTCCGGGAACAATTCATGAGACTAACATGTGCTCAATTTAGCCACGCATTCGTGGTGGGTGCTAATGCGAAGGCAATGTTTTGAGCGGAAGCAGTGGATTACACGGGTGCGATTGCCAACGGCCGTAGTGCTATGAGGAGAAAAATAATCTGGATCGGATACGGGTGTGGCGTCACTTTTTTGCTTTAAATATTATTGAAACTAATAAATTTGTGAATATGTAATCCTTGTTTTTATATATTCTCAATAGAGATGAAATCGCGCGAGTTCAGTTCCCGTTAAAAGAAAAAGAACCATACTTAGTACCAAGTTATCGTGAAACGGAGTGTAGGTGGTGCTGCGGCATGTGGACTGCTGACACAAGTTTTACGCAGTGTTTGGGCATAGCATGAATTAAATGGGTTGGGCAATATTTTGGTGTTTGCGCCACCCTTGCGGATATGTAGCCAAAAAAGATGGGACGGCCTACCTTGTTCGGGGTGCACATTCGTTAGGGATTTCACTAGTCCGGTGACCCAGAACTGTACCATGGCATTCATGGTAGTATGCATAGAAAGCGTTTAGTTCTGTTTCTTGTAACAATTAGGTATTCTTTAATCTTGAACGTGGTACTGGTACCAGTTAAATTACAATTCACCATGGGAACTTTATTGGTATTGAAATTACTTTTCATTGTGTCGGAGCATTCATTCTTGAGTAGGTCAGTCAAACCTTGTGCTCTTCCAAATGGGCCCAGGCTTGAATCCAGTCACTGTGTGATGGCACGGTGTATCTCAGTACAATGAAAAAATTCACAGTAATAGGTTGTTTGTACTCATTGAACTAAAGTAAAGAGGGAACATTAAGTGAGATCTATTTTATTTAGTGTATGTATTTTTTTGTTGTTGCGGTATTGAACTTGAAAATGCATTGCATGTTTCAGATATTCTCCGAGCCATCAGCGATGATGCAGCAGCTCCTCACAAGCACGCGCCAGCTCACGCTGGGGCCCTACAAGCACGAGTGCGACTGTGAGTTATGCTGGGAATGGTTGCTGAAGCATGCATTGAAATGCCAATTGAACATATATTGGGGGACCTCAAGAAGAAGTTTGCTTAAAGGAGCTGTGCAACAATTTCAGGGCTTTGCTTAAATTTTTGTGGAAGTTGATGCCTGACACTTCTGAAGTGAACTACAGAAAACGGATTTTGCCTGGATACCCTAGTCTTTATTTGAAAAAAAAAAAAAATGAAAAAGATCCAGGTTTTTGCCGCCTCTCAACTCATACGTCATCTTCCAGGTCACGTGCGCAGTGACGTTGATGGGGTAGGCGCGGGGTTCCGGAAAAGTTCCTCTTTTTAGAGCCATCAGTGAGCAGCGAGAACTCATCCACTCGCGACCGCATGACCACGTGCTGGCGGGCACCGCGCGAACAATATGGTGAAAGGAAAAAAAGTCTCATCCGGGTCCGTCCATACCCGTCCGGCCCTGTCCCCCTCCCCCTTTGGCTTCTGGCGGCTGTTCGCAATAGCAGAGAGAGCCGACGGTTTTGTGGACCTAGGATAGATGGCGCCACTAAAACTCCGTATAATAAAAGTTTTGTCGATGATATCAGGTTTTTGACGCTTTTATATATATGTTGGAATGACAAGATTTATAGAGAAGTTACCTTTTATCGAGCAGGTATTCGCACAACTTGCTATCTTTCTACAAGATTCTCCTTTGACGTCACTCCGTGTGTTTCTCATGGCCGCCGCTCGCGGCTGCAGGTCGGGGAATATTCTAAGTTTTGCCTCGCTATTACGCGGCGGAATTGCAACATGTCGGTGAAAGGAGGTTTGTTTTCTGTCATTTGTGACAAGGTGAACAATATCCGAAAAGCAGAAGGTGCCAATTCTTTCAACGTTAAAATCGTTGCACAGCTCCTTTAAGTTTGCTTCACTGCAAGCATTGTACACAATGGGATTTTGAAAAGGAATCTTACGAGAGTTTGTTCATCCGAATAGTCTGTTCAAGTGTTTATTTCACTCTATCACAGTGGCGTCACACGGGTCAGCGGCACCCGGGGCAGTAGCCCGCTGCGACACCGACACCCCCCCCCCCCCTCCCCCACACACTTGCGTGGCTCGCGGCGCCTCCCCCCCCCGCTCTCGTGGCCCGCCACGACACCCCCCTGAGCTCTGCACCCCCCCGCCCCCCCCCCCCCCCCCCCCCCCTTGTGACGCCACTGCGAGCACTACCCTTTGATAGCTCCGGCGCCATTGCAGATTGACAGGGAATGGTTGCTGAGGCATACATTGAAATGCCAATTGAAGAAACTTTGGAAGACCCCAAGAAAAAGTTTTAAGTTTGCTCAACTGAAAGCATTATGCACAATGGGGTTTTGCAAAGAAAGCTTACAAAAGTTTGTTCATCTGAATAGTTTATTCAACAAGAGTTTGTTCAAGTGTTTATTGCACTGTACCACACTACCCTTTGATACATCTAGTGCCATTGCAGAATGGCAGATTTTGGAACCGCACTGAGACAAAACACAATTTTGAGATACCAAACGGCATGAAATTGTCTTCACTAAAATGTTGGGAGCTGCTCAAATCAAGCTCTTGCAAAGAAAATGTCCGATTGATCTTTTTATACACATGTAATGCAGTATTACTCAACCCCCTATCCCTTGCAGGATGCTGAGACATGAGTATGATGGAGCAAGGTTTTGTAGATCGTCCTCTAATCGTGCAGGGTGCATAGTCCTCGCGGAAACATTTGAAAAGTGGAATCGAGTCACTGAAAGCCTCGAACCATTTTGATAAAAACTGGCACGGCACATCCTTGTCCAAATGCAGAAAGAATGATGTGGTTGTGTGATGGGTGCAGGCACGTCTTTAGGACAAAATGTATCCAGAGTCCAGGTTTGGCTGGATTTGCCTAGATCTCAATCTGACTGAACTAGATTGTTTACTGTGAGCAGATACATATCGTAGTCATTCTAACAGATGCCTGTCTTTGCTTGACTGTACAGTTTATGAAGGGCCAACTGCTCTACTAAGGAAGGATCTGAGAGCATAGCAAATGTTCACTTTTTCCGGAAACACAGTCTGAACTGGAACATAGAGCATGATGTTTCATACACTTATTGTTTTAGTGGAGATCTTATTTTATCAACACATCTTAGTTCTAAGCCTCGTCATTCACCAAGCTTCTTGCTTAGGTTGCAGAGACAGGCTTTCCAGTTGCTTTGCAGACTATTGAGGCCCGTTCACACAGTTGCGTTCGGAGCGACCACTATGCTTACAAACGAATGCAACCGGTTGGAACAACGAGTTACCATAGCAACGCAGCGCCAAACGGTCGTTTCGTTCATGTTTGTTCGCAACGGAAGGAGTCGAGTCGGGCTGAACTTTCTCGTTACGTTCGGGAACGACGGGACCGACAGACGAATCACAGGTCGAGGAGAGCTTGGTCGCACGTGTTGCATGCTGGTCTTGCCGGGCTCCTTCTAACTGCAAACATGGCGTCGGTGGTGATCGTCAATGTGGACGGCGTGGTGGAAGCTCATCGTTCCCCGTAAAAGCGCTATCCTTGACTGTGAATTTTCGTCGCGTGTGGTTATGATAACCCAGCACGTACTAGAAGGGAAGATCCACCTACTCGTGCGGCGATCTCGTGGCGGCACTCTCAAGACAGCAGAAACGCCCAGGCCGTCGTGTTTGTTTACTTCGACTACAGCGGTGCTTTCTTAGCATTTGTGACCTCGAACATCACCCAGATTTCTTTTTTGGCGCATTCCATGCGTGTGCTCGAGTTCAAGGTATTACTGGTCCATACTGTATAAAGGATGCGAATCTGCACGCGTTTTCATCACCCAAAAAAGGTGATTAGTGTTGGCAATCCTGGACGCTCGCAACGTCTGCAAAATTATACTTCTATGTTGCTATATCGCTGCTGAGATTACATCGTCTTTTACAATCGTAGAAAAGGCGTGTGGCAAGATTCACACTGTTGGCAAAGTCGTGTATTAAAGTTGTGATCGTGCAAGATGGCGTACTGCATCTTTTTCTTTTTTTAATGCACTACCCTGCAAGCGTATCCTGAAAAAAAGAATAATAAAGCTTGAGGTCATAGAAGACAGTCTGTCCATTTTCCGTTACGCAAGTGAGTGGCAGCGTGTCCCCTTCTTTTTAGAGGCACCGCTGAAACAGGTGTTGGCAACAGAGAGGCAGTCGCCGTGCTGCCGACCCGCTGTGCTTGTTGCAGTGGTAGCAGGAGTGTACGTGCAGCACAGAGCGGTCATCCTTGTCGTTCCGGTCACAACGGACGCAGTCGTGGATAGTGGGTTCGTTTCAGATGTCTGAACCAGCCTTTACAAAGCTATTGTAGGCGCACAGCAGATCTTTGTGATTGTACACCATAGCCGAAACCTCGGGCTGTCTCGGTGAAGACCCCGCGTTGGGCACGAAATTGTCCGCCATGTTTGTAAGCGTAGCTGGGTTGCTTACTATTGGCTAGGAGCAAGAGCTGAAGCTCGTTTCTTATTGGCTGTTGATTCGTGTGGTTGCATGCAGTTGCATGTGTGTGTACACGTCGCGCACTGTTGTCGTTGAAGTCGCAGCGGTTGCATTTGTTCGTAAGCATAGCGGTCGCTCCGAATGCGGGTGTGTGAACAGGCCTTTAGTTGTGCAGGCATTTCAGAAGAATGTTCATGGCTAACTGAAACGAAGTGAACCATAATGTTTGTATTAATAAGTCTAGAGAAAAAGGTGTCCCATGATCCCATGTATTCTTGAAATTGTAGTGATGTAGGATTTATGCTTGCGCAGGACCACAACACATTGCGGCGGGGACAAAGACGAAGAAGAATAAAGCGAGTTAATGGGAATGGCTGCCCCATATTTATTCTGCCCGCCGCGTTAGTACTCAGGTTATTCAGCACACTTGCAGTGCTACAGGAATGACGGGGCATAGAGGCAGATGTCAGTGGTCCTGGTGAGCCCATGAATCTAGCGTCTCTTTGGCCCTCTTCAGGAACTTGCAAGCACCATAGTACCTCTAGTGTTAGGGCTTACAATTTGTCGTGCTGTGGTCCCACCTTTCAAGGGGTGCTCCGGCGATTTTTTGAGCTACCCCAGCTAACTATATTTTCGTAATCACTGGCATTTACCCTTCCGGTATGCTAATTAGTATAGCAAAATTCAGAATAGTTATTGTGAAATCGGCAAGTGAAAATGATGCCAAAACCAACATGCAAAGTTACCCGCGGTTTTCAGTGCCGTGACGTCAGGTCGAGCGGGCAGTGTACAAATGAACTATGCTGAGCATTTGTTTCGTGCTGCTGTGCAGGGGCTGGAGCGAGCTTCTAATGCATTCATTTGACACCATGAAAGTGCTTGAACAAAGTCTTCACTCCAAAGAGTGAACCCCTGTATTTTTTTGCTGAGGTCACTTTTTCATTGTTGCCAGTAGAGACTTTAACTTTGAAAAACACTGTGAGAATCAAAATTGTAAATGCACTAACTTAAAATATATATATATATATTTGCTTAATATTTGGGTTTCTATTCCGGCAATGTTTGTCAGTGTTTAGCAAATTTTCAGGCAAATTGGAGACTATGAAGAAATCACCAGAGTACACCTTTAAGTCCCTGGAGCAAATGGATGAGTCTCACATCTTTCTGGTCCTCCTCAGGAGCTCGCAAGCACCATAGTTCCACTAGTGTTAATGCTTACGATTAATCATGCTCTGGTCCTGTCTTTACCCTGTGGAGTGAGCGAACGAATGAGTCTTACATCTCTCTGGTCCTCTTCAGAAACCTGCAAGCACCATAGGAAGCGAGCAAGCCGGCCGTGTCGCGGCGGTCGCCTATTGTTCGCCGCGACGTAGCGGTAGCCGCCACAGGAGCATCGGGGCGACGAACAGCACGGCGGGCAGTGTCCCCGTCGTGATTACGAAGGAGTTTGAGGCAGTTACGAGTCCAGAATGTTCCTTCGGTAGCCGGTGCTGTTGGTGCAGAATCATCGGGAAGTAATAGGAACGAACACCACAGAGGACAGTGGGCGATTACGAATCCGGGAAGCTTCTTCGGTAGCCGGTGCAGAATCATCGGGGGGAAGCAATGGCGATGAGCAGCACAGCGGACAGTGTTCCCGGGGTGATTACGACGGGGTTCAAGGCGGTTACGAATCCAGAAAGCTTCTTCCGTGGTGCCAATATGACGAAGAGAAAACTCCTTTGTGAATCTGGCCGCGTGTGCGACGTGAAGGAGGTCCGTTTCGACGGACAAGTGGATGTCACGGAGCGCTGTACTCTGCAAACAAAATTAAGCGCACCCGCAAAAAAATTTTGTTGGCGTTGAGTGGACTGCGGTAATTATGCACGTTTATTTCTGAATCAGCTTGACAATAACTGGGCGATTTTTTTTTTGCGCCGTTCCGCGATTCTCTTACTATCTTCCTGTAGGCTGATGGAAACATCCAAGGGTACGCTTAGGTGGGCGACCGCATTCCGCTTCTCGATTTCGGTTGAGTATTTGCTGCATACTTTAGAGTTTGTTGTCGGTGTCGATGCTGTTCCATTGTCGCTAGAATAGAAAAAAAGTTAATTGTATTATTTGTCAGCAGCTTAAACAAAGCACAAACTGGAAAGTAAGAAACGCCACTAACCTGTATGGACGCACAAGTCGCACCCAGGTCGCGCAGCACTCCACCTCGTACGGCTTTGAAGGGACGATGTAGTACTTCGTGCCGTGCGCAATCTTCGACGTACTGTTGCAGCCGACCACGCAGCTATTGTTGCGGCTTTCTTGGTGTGGAATAGCCATCTCAGAAATTACAGCGCTAACCCACTACAACGCTACAACGCACAATTAATGCAGCGACTGGCAGAAGCTCCCCGATGCAATGGATCTGTTTGCCGCTAGGGGCGCCCTGGTCGGGGTTTGAATTAGATCCGCACGGTTTCTATAGTACCACTGGTCCTAGGGCTTATGGTTAGCCGTGCTCTGCTTCCGTGTTTACCCTTTTGAAGCGAAGGGACGAGTCTCACATATTTTTGCGTCCTCCTGGGGAACTTGCAGTTGAGGAGAAGAAGGAGAAGACCCTGCACGCCATCCTGTCGGCCAAGAACAAGATCCGGCTGGAGGTGGCCGACCTGAAGGAGCGGCTCAAGGTGGCCAGAGAGACCATCGACAAGTACAAGACGGAGATCAGCAAACTCGAGTCCCAGGCAGAGGTCGACCCCGGAGGAAGCGTAGCTGCCACTTCCTGATCTCTCCCCTCTCCCATTTTATGCCCCTGCCCCCGTTGGTGCAGGGGTCTCCAACCATTGTTACCTGCGCTAATAAATATTAAGACGAATGGTGGGTCTTCCTTTCGTTATAAGTTGTTTCTGATTATTTATTTATTTTATTTAATAAGCTTCAAAGACGACATACATCCTCGGTTTTCTGCAGGGAAGATAATCTTCTTAGTGCCGTCCTCTCCAAAACTGTGAGGGGAGCCTTGCGGGAGCAAGCCGAAAGGTGGAGGGGATATGGGTTAGGAGAAAGCCACAAAAAGTGGAAAGTGTGAGGTGTATGTTGGGGGCCGTTAGCCTGCAGTGTCCAGAGGCCATTATTGTAGGAAAATGGTAAAGGTACAGATATACCAACTATACACACAAATATACACGCATCACTAGAACTTGACTATCAGGGAAAGACAAATCACGAATACCTCACTGGCACACCTTTCTATTATCGGTTACATCTGGTTGGGGCATGGTCGGCTTTCACAGACTGGTGAGCTGAGCGTTATCAGGCTGTGGTTCATCTGTCGTGTGCAAACATTGATCTCTGTGAATGGGTGTTATTTGGTGACGGCACTTCCTGAGTGAAGGTATGTCTGAGACTCGTGAGCAGGTAATTTATGCTACTGCCTTTCCCGACATTGTTCTGCCAATATTATGATGCTATATGCACCTGCTTATAATGCTCGCCTCAGCAACCTGGAAAATATGCTTAGCTTGAGCTTCATTTGCATGAACAGTATAATAAAGTGCAGTTAATTAACTTCACTAGATTTTGCAGGGTTTCGTCTGGCTCAACAATGTCGGTGTGTCTGAATTACGAGGCACATTTTTTTAACTGTTGCCATGAATAGTTTTTGTAGGTGTCTGGGCCGGCTTGCTTGAAACGAAATGAGCTTGTTCATATTTATGACAGTCTGGAAGTAAGCACTGCCAAAGTTAGTGCACAGGCAAAGAAAAGTAATAGCAAATACTTTACTAGGGGGAATACATCCTACTTCCCGATAAGCCAATGGCCTCAGCACGGACGGTTTGGTGCAGTTTGAATGGCTGGATGACCTTGGGCTTTCCGAATTGAATTGGCAGTGGTGCTAGGCGCCACCTATTGCCATGGACGTCGCAGTTATCAGGCATTCGCGCGGGCGGGCGAACGGCGCTCTCCGAGCCGTTCGGTCGATGCACGTGTTTGCTCAATATGTGTCGTGGCTTGTTCCCTAAATATTTTTAAAGCAAAAATAAGTGTTTTCTTTTATTTCGGCGCAGCGAGACGTTTAAATTACCAGGGGAGAAATAGGCGCAGTAGGCGCGCTGCCTAATGCAAATGAGAGGAGTAGGATCTATTCCCCCTAGTAAGGTATTTGGTAATAGCATGTGAAGGTTACGTCAAATGACTTGAGCACCCCAGCCTTGGCAATTGTTTTATTTTAATTTGAATAAGGCTGACTTATTTCCTTTCGAGCGAGCAGGCCCTGGTCAGCAGCAACACTGATAATGTTCGGGCGAGGGAAAATGGTGCTCGTTTCTAACGAACTAATCTTGATTTCAGCTATGGTCGGAGCGTGGCCGTTGTTACGAGCCAAAGGTCCAATCAAAGAGCGCAAAAAGGGCAACGTCATGGCGTTCCCCGCTCTTGATAGGACGAGCCGGCGGAGGAGCATGCACTGAAAGATGGCGAACACCGTTGGTTCTATCAACTGCTGAGAGTACGCCATGACGGTGTGCCTTTTTCGCCGTTAGATTGGCCCTTCGGCTCATAACATCGTCCACACTCGGACCTAATGTGTAGGAGGGGTGTCGCGAACTTTTGTCGAACCGGATTTTTAGGTCGAACTTTCGGGATTCGACTGGGTCGAACCGGTTCGACGAACCTTCGAGACTTTTCACCAGATTCAACCGGTTCGACTTTGCGGACAGTGTGTCCAGACCTTGATACAAGCTTGTCTAGGTTCGGAAAATTAATGTTTATGCAAAGGGTTATTTTATTTTATGAACAGTTGCAATGGACTTCTTCCAAAACCGACGCGCCCCATCGCGGCGAAATACGGCGCAGCGCACTCTGGGAACTAGTTGGCCACTCAGTTTCGGTTTCGACTGAGCAGCTCCATCTCATGCTATCGCGCCGCGACCGAACGCGCTGCTTGCGTTTTCGATTATCTGACCCAGAGTGCAACGCGCGCCGTATTGCATGCAGGGCTTTATGGAAGCAGTAGAAACCAATTCTAATCACTGAAGAAGTTAAGAACTTAATTTTTTTTTGTACTGTGTTAACTGAAATAACCAATCAGCGGTGCCCTTAATTCATCCCTTAGCCATCACCATTCAATCCGAAGCCAACTGGCCAGCCTGTCGCGGATGCGCACACGAGTCGAACCTCAATACAAGGTTCGTCGAAATTTCCACAAAAAGGTCGAAAAAGTCGAACCTGGTCGAACTCGAACCTCGGCCGGTTCGCGACACCCCTACTTTCTAGGCTAGGTGGTACTGAGTGCCCTCATGTCGCGAAGCGGGACATGAAGGCACCCTAGGTGGCGCAAGCTACCCCCCGTTATAAAGGGTTAGCAATGAGTTATTGATAAGTTATCCCTTTATAAAGGGTTAGCAATAAGTTATAAAGGGTTACCATTAGCAACGTTACTAGAACCACTCAGTTGGGAACTTTTATGGAGCCTGTACTGAAAAAAGTGGCTCCGATCCGTACTCGAGAACCGAGCTAATGGCGATCGCAACGCTGCCATTTCTCCCGCAGCGGCCACTCCGGGAACTGCACGGCTGCACATCGAGTCTGGCAAGGGCCGGTGGCGCCATCTCGCAGGGCCATCTCGCAGTAGCTATGCAAAGCAACTTTCATGTTTCAACTCGTCGCTAAAGGTTGGCGCTGTTATCGCATTTGGCTCGGTCTCGGTGAACGCCAGCGGCCCAGGTTTCAATGGCGAGTTTCCCAACTGAGAGTTCCAGTAATGTTGACCATTAGCTTGGCGGCGTGCGCAAACTACAAGGAGCTCTAGGTATCATCATCATCGTTTTTGACGTCACGGGTGGGACAGACCTCACAGTGCAGATCTTGGATCCCTGGGCTGATCAGCTCTCTTCATGCGCTGTTTGGGTAACTCGCGACAAAGCCTGTTTCACGCATTGTGCTTATTTAATGAAATGATATTTGGAGTAGAACATTTTACCAAAGCTTGAAACCGTGGCACGCGTAGTCGCGCTAACAAACACTTTTGGCGCTGAGGTATCGAAGCGCTGGGATGGTCGTGTGCTGTTCTCTACCCTGATAAAACCCGTTCGCTTTACTGACGTCTAACTCCTGGTTAGCTCAGTTGGTAGATTGTTCCACTGGAATTGGAGAGCAGGGTTAAGCAGTTTCGCGATACAAATGTATCGCGATAGTATTTCAGAAATACATTTCGTATCTGTATTTCTGTATCGCGATACCTTTTTTTCACTAGTATCTGTATTCCTGTATCGAAATGCATTTGTAATGTTTCTTTGTATCGCGATACAATCAGGGTGAAATGTATTTCGTTACATTTGTTCAGAAATACAACCACCCCCCCCCCCCCCCAACCCGACAAAAAAAAAAAAAAAAATAAAAACCCGAACGCACTTCTTTTTTTTCTTTTTTTTTCTTTTTTACTTTTGAGGGCACTAGGGCCAAGGAGATGCTGGGCATTGTTACCATGGTGACCAAGGTTCCTTCCGATTCTCCGAACTATTTTTTAGGCGTCCTCTTCTCTCTTCTGAGAAGTGTTGCGTAGTCGGGGATTCGAAGCAGGTGGCGTGCCAGGAGTGGAATCATAGCATCGTCTGCCGCAGGTCCTTAGGTAGGAATTTCTTGAATCATTGTTTGCTGGCATTCAATTGCCGCAGCTAACCGTCTCTCTTGCCTTGGCGTGCACAGTACACCCAGCCGCGGAAGCTGAGTCACAGTCCGTTGCAGCACGAGCCTGGCGGTGGCTGATTTTAAATAGTAGGATGACTCACACACTGGAGTTCAACATTTATTCGAATGCGTCTGCGGCTGCGCCCGTAGTATTGTACGGCTCAAGGGTACGTCATCAGCCGACGTGAACGTGACCCGCTCCTGTGGTGATTTGAAACCCAGGAAGGAGGCCAGACGTGGCCTCGCTGTGCCAACCCAGACTTCGTACACCTGCGACTCGTCTCGAGCGCGCTGTTTCTCGGAGAGCTCGCTCCTGTGCCGGCAATATCAGGTCGCAATCCACGAGACCTTTGTTTGGATGATACTAGCCGAAACTTGAGGACTGCAATCTATGCGCGGTGGCGGAGGGTCGGCAGGAAGGACATTCACAACAGAGATGCCACCGTATCGGTTTTTCAACCGTAACAGAAGATAAGACATGTGTTCCAGAGTGCTTCAGGTCGTCCACTATTCTCGAAAATTCCAAATCACACTGCCTGCACGATCTCCAAAGAGGTAAATTACAACGAAAGCACGTATTGTCCTTTCATACAGCAGCGTGGTAAAGTTTCATGTTCAAGGCCACACCTACAGATCAAAAACACCAGTTCATTCCACCGTGACGTCATCTGATCAATGTTGACAGGTTCGTCCTTATTGGACAGGGGTGTGGTGACGCTTTGATGGGGTTTAGGATGGCATAGAATTTATTTAGAGGTCGAAGTATTTTCGCATTCCTCGTCAGAAAGACAGGATGTCAGGAAGGGGACCGCAGTCAGTCCTTAATCATTGATGAAACTTCTTTTTTTTTTGGGGGGGAGCCCTTTGAAGACTCTTCGTCGTACGAAACCACTACCTTCAAGGCAATGTGCCAAGCCTACGGGAAGGTAATTTCGGGATCAAACACTTCCACTTCGAACTTCAAGCTTCATCTCATTTGGCGTCTCAAACAAATTCGCAAAATGTGATAATGTAGTGATTGCGCAGGCGAGCTGGTGGATGTTAACCATTTAGAGACGTGTCCTCGACTGTTCATTTTTCTTCTACTTTGAAACTTTCCTCTTTTCCTGCCTCAGTCTCGGGCTAAGAACAAAATCGCAAAATGTATTGCAGTATCAGTATTTCTGTATTTGTATTTCTGCCCTCCCTAAAATGTATTCCTGTATTTGA